CCCGTCCTCCCCCTTTCAACCCCCTTTCCCTTCCCCCTTCACGAAAACTCTTTCCCGACACGATTTTTCTTTTTTATTTTTTTCTTGTGTAAAAGCCTTGAACTTTCGATTTAGTCAATGACGAAAAGGTTTCCTCACGTTTATTTTTCTTTTTATTCTTGGGGAGGGAGAAGGGGGAGGGGCGAAAGGGTCGACTGGAGAGGGGAAAGGGGGGAGAGAAACAAAACGTTCGTAATACGAAAGAAAAAAAAAAGAAAAGAAAAGAAAAAAAGGGGAAAAAAAAAAAAACTTTTTAAATTTTTTCCCCCCAACTTGATTACATTTCCTTGGTTTCATTTAACTTTTCTCTTTTTATTATTATTACTATTTTTTTTCCCCATTCTTACCACACAACATTGATAAAAATATCGCAAAATTATTTGTTTGATCGATATTTTCCATCATCGAAACCCCGCCCCCTCCTCCTCCCCGACACTCCGCCCCTCCCCCGTATTTGTACGACCCAATTTTTCAACTTTTAAATTTTTTTTTTTTTTTTTTTTTACAAATTTTCTAATTTTTAATTTTAAAAAAATTTTCTTTCCTTATAATTTAACGACATTATTATCGATAATTATCATCATCATCATCATCATCGTCATTTTTTCCGTTTCCGGTTTGAATATTTGACGATTCGCATAAAAATTTATTTTTTATTTAAACTTTCCCTTCATGTAACTTTTATTAAAAAAATTTTTTTTTTTTTTTTTTTTATTACTTCTGCGTGTGTGTGTGTGTGCGACGTCACCCAAATTATTATTATTATTATTATCATTACTATTATTATCAGTACGCGAAACGATGATGATGATGATAATAATGATAATAATAATATGAAAATGTAAATTTTATTTAAGAATCGATAAATAAATTATTAAATTCTCAAACTTTTATTTATTCATATTTATTTTCCTTTTTCATCTTTTTTTTTTCTCCGAAAAATTTATGAATATTAAATATTATTATTATTATTATTATTATTATTATTATTATTATTATTATTATTATTATTACCATTATCATTATTATTATCACGACGAATTTAAGGCGGGGGGGGGAAACTTGAGAATATCATAATTTTTACATCCCTTATTAAAAATAAATGTGTACCTATATATACATATATTTATGACCGAAATATTTTAAAGTGGCAATTTGTTTTGCGATCCTTTTTCTCCCTCCCCCTCTCCCTCTTAAAAAAAAAAAAATTCGCGTTGACGGAGAAAAAAGAGAGAGAGAGAGAGAGAGAGAGAGAGAGAGAGAAAGATAGAACCCTTTTATGAAAATCGTTTAAAAAATTATTTATTAAGTATAAAGGAAGTAAAAAAAAAAAAAAAAAAAAATTTTTCTTCCCTATTATTATTATGATTATTACGTTCGTCCATCCGTTCAATTTATTCTTTTGATCCCGGATAAAAAAAAAAGAGGGGGAGGCGGGGAGAAGGGAGGGTAGAGAAGGGGAAGGGAGGGGAAATGATAATTTCAAAGATGACGACGACGACGACACGATACACGAAGATTTTATGAAAATGAAAATTTAACTAATTTTTCTCATTCGTAATCCAATTACAAGAGAAAAAAAAAAAAAAAAAAAAAAAAGAATATTAAAATTACTCGTGATGATGATGATAATAATAATAATAATAATAATAATAATAATAATAATAATTAATCATTAAAAATCATCATTTTTTTTTGGGTGGGTGGGTGGAGGGGAGAAGGAGGGAGGAGCGATGGGAAGGGAGGAATCGATACCGAGGGTTCGCTTTGACCGAATTTTTTTTTATCCATAAATAATATACGGGAGGGAGGAAAAACGTCAAGTTATTCTGGCCGCCATTTTTTAACGCGTCATTCAAACCCGATATTGTTATTTATTATTTATTTTTTTATTGCTAAATAATTTGTTGTCCGACGTAATTTATTTTAATAATTAATTAAAAATAAAAATATCAAGTCGTCAAAAAACATTTTGGTTAGCGCACCGGTCGCGAAAAGATAATCATAACAAACCCCAATTTAATAAAAAAAATTATTATTATTATTATTATTATTATTATTTTGTTACAGTTTACGGTTCCATTGATTGTTTTAAATGCGTATCGATAAACGGGGATAATCCGGCTTGCGATGATCCCTTTCATAACAACTACACGGCTGAAATTTACGAATCTCCTTGCATGGGCGGAAGAAAAGACAGAAATGGACTTTTCCCAGCCACGGCATGCATTAAAATGTCGGGTCAATATGGTGAGTGTTAAACATCCCCACCTCGCGACACGCGCGATGAGTTTTAATAATAATAATAATAATAATGATAGTGATAATAATTTGATGAATTCATTTTTATAGAAAATGGAACAAAAATTACAGTTCGCGGTTGTGCCTTGGACAGTGGATCATTAACCATTGATACAGAAATTATAAGAATGTCACATTGTGGAGCTTTTTATTTCGACGGAAAGTCAGTTTTTCTCTTTTTCCCCTTTTTATACTAATTCAATTATCATTTTTACGAGAAGGCGGCCATTAAAAAAAAAAATAAATAAATAAA